GGGTCCATGTTTAAAGCTACATTTGGTAACTTTTATAAAAAACCCCAAAACAAACTGAAACTGTCACTATATTCACGCAGTGCTAAATGAGGCGGATAATCTGTAAGAAAAAATTATATTCCTCTGCCTACTCTATTGCCTCATAGCATTTCTAATGGCCTGCATGTGAATGAAAACAACCAATCAGAGCTGAGGAGTCTCTAACACAGCTGTCAGTCATGTCAATCACTGCCCAGGAACAAACTAGGCAGCACTGATTAAAGGTTTTCAGGAACATATTTTAGTGTACTGTTCAGCTGTAGAGTGACAAAATTTGTGAGCCAGGGGACCCAGCAGCAGGACCAACTTTCTCATTTTACAGCTAAACAGTGCACTAAAATGTGTTTCTGAAAACATTTGAGGCTAGGCAATGCAATACAAGAATCTTGATTACATTTTGATCAGTGCTGCCTGTTTTGACAGTTTGACTACAGTTTCCAGAATGATTGACATTCAAATAAGGTCTTATAATATCTCTACTTAATCACGTAGATCTCTCTAAATATGTTCTCTATGTAATACACATTTTCATGAAATAAAGTATGTACTCAGTCAACCCGGTCTCACTCCGAAGTCATTGAAGTCTGTTGCTTAGGCAGTGACTTGTGACGTCACACGCAGACGAAAAAAGACGTCCTTTAACATCGGCATGATACGCAGCCAGTCGCTGTTACAGTTTAACGGCGCTCAGCGTCATCAGGGGGAAATGTGGTGGGACATTACAGACAGTTAAGGTAGTGAAAGTCCGAGTAGGGTGGACAGGAGGGGTGGTGGATGGGTGCAACAAACACTGACTTTCACCCGGGAGAGCGATGTTTGTGTCCCATAAGATTATAAAGCCAAACCCTGCTCTTTTTTCTTAAACCCAACATGCTTTAGTTGTTAGAGGGAAAAAAACACAACCTCTATTTGCACTGTTGTACTGATGTAGTGCGTTTATTTTGAAAGAGACTGTATGTTAACGGTAAATTTCCTGTGAAAACAGAAGTGCATTTTGAAAGAAGACAATGCATGAAACAGGCAGAACTTGACAAGGCTTCCCAGAACGTCAGCAACCATCTATATGGTTGTATCTGGACGTGGAATTCTGTGACCAAATGTCGATTTGTGATGAAGTCGGAGTGAGAATGTGTTGACTTAGTTGTAGGTTTAGATTAGTTTATGTAAAGCAAGCCAAATCCTCCTGTAATTTTAAAGGAACATTTGACTTGTGCTAGAATACAAGGATGTTACATTTATCATACTGTAGTACTGCTTTTAACTCATTCAGCTGTATCACACAGTGATACAAATGTTAATTAATGTAAATGTCTTCTTTAAATTTTAATGCAAAGCATTTTTCTACCACAACCTGCTTACATCTGAGAGAGCTGTCGTCTTGTCCAGAGCAGAAGAGTTGGATGAGAAGGATGACTTGCCTCTTTCATCTTTCTCTAATCCCTCTCTAACTCATGCTTGTTGCATAGACTATATTAACATGACAAGTGGCCTCACAGTCACAGTCAGTGTTGGGCACATCAGCATCAAATTTGTCCTAATTTATAAAATTAAAAGGTTACTTCCTTCATTAAAATGTGCATCTCCACTTCTGTATTATGTAGAGTTTTGTTTTAACCAAAAAAACATTTGTTTATTAGCTCACGCTGCATCTTTTCAGCTTTATAAGATTACATAATAGAGCACACTTGGTCTCTTTTTATCAGAAATGTTTGCAGATGGCTAAGGTCATACTGGGGGAATTACTTACAAAGTAAATCTTGCTCTTAATGTAGCACAAAATGTTCTGTTGTATTTTTCCTCCCTGTGCTGACATAAACATAAAGACAACAACCGTGATTAGGTCATCAAGGCCGCCGGAGCCCTACATCATGTAATCCCTGAAAACATCTGCCCCTGCATGCTGTGTCATATACTGGACAAATACATATACACAAGTACACATGTGTGTGTATGTGGACAGACATGCGTGCAGGCACACACATGCACGCATGTGACACGCACATACATGCAAAGTATCATGTAAGTTCTTATTCCAGGCAGATCAAACACTGATCCACATGCATGCACAGTGCGCAGATTAAGGCTATCCCTTGCTGCAGGGGCTTAGTTGGCATCTCTGTCTAAGCTCTGCATTCTTCACCTCCCTCTGTTCCCTTCATCTCCTTTACAACATGTACAAGCACCATAAAAAGCAATGACCAGCAGATGATGCATGCTTCCGACCCATATCCTGTCAGCAGTCATGGGAATATCATTCAGAACAAGGCTTTACAATGCCCTCATTTGCTCTCTCGAAATGGATCATGATGTGCTTTATTTACTACGAGTTGGCGGTTTCACAGATTTCAGTTGTTAAAGTGTTAATTGTTTTGCTTCGAAATTACAGTCTTCACCTGATGTCCGTATATGTGAGTACATTTTAAATGGTTCTCATTAGGGCTGGCATGATATCAGATTTTCACTACACAAATATTGTGGCCAAAAGAGTTCAATAACGATAACCATATTATCATGATATACATAGAAATTTTGAGAAAAATGCGAATAATATTAACGCTTTCCACCAAATTCATTTTTAATTTTGTTTTTTTTGCACAATTCGTCACATTTACATTTTTTCTTTAAAGGAGTCTCAAATGATCCTTGTTATATGCAATGTGTCTTTTCAAAATACACCTCCATTTTCACAGGAAATGCAACATTGCCTGCATACAGTCGTTTTCAAAATAAACTTACAACATCGGTAAATCACTTGGCTTTAAGGTTTATTTCCTTTGGTTCAGGCAACAAATGTCCCTGGTCAGGTTTAGGAAAAAACATCATGGTTTGGCCTAAAATAAGTATGATACAATACAATACGATATGATACGATACGATACGATACGATACGATACGATACACTTTACTGTCCTCATAGGAAAATTTGTCTTGGACTCACGAGCTGAGTATTGCTTCCTTACAAAATCAGTACGAAAAACCCCCTGAAAAAAAAACACATACAAAACACATACTACACATAACAGTATTGCACATCAGCCAATCACGTATTGCACATAACACCAGCACACAACAGAGCACCATTAGCAAAACACAACACAACCCCTAAGCATCAAGTGACATTATTTAAAATGTTAATTGAGATTGGCACAAATGAATTTTTAAAACTTTTTTATTTTTAATATAACACCAAAGACTTTGGGTTTTACATTAGAAACAAACAATGAGCTCCTGGGTGAAAGTCTAGTGTTTGTTTGACCCATATACCTCACTTTCCCCTACCATACCCATACACGCTTTCTAGCTCTTTACACTACGGTACTTGCCAGTAGCATCAGAAATAGCTGCTGCCTGGTGCGTATCATACTGCTGCAAAGAGTCCCTCTGTGCGTGGGTGTCTGATGCAGAGATTACTGAAAAAGTGGCAGTATTTGACCAATAAGCTCTAGCGAAAGTTCAGTCAGGAAGACAATACTTTTCATGCTTGGGCTGTAAGTTTCTATCTCACCCTGCCATTCACTCCTTGCTTACATGCTCACTCATTATCTCCAGGAGTCATTGTCTGGGTCTGTTGATTGAGTCATCAGCTGATTCACAATCAACCAATAGCACAGTGACACACCTTCCCTGTTGGCCTATCATTTTACTGCTCCTCATTTTAAGTGTGGTTCATCAGTCTCATACCCCTCATCAGCCATCAGCCTCAGGGTCAGCAGCCACCACCACCACCAGTGTGGTTCATCATCCTCATACGCCTCATCAGCAATCAGCCTCAGAGTCAGCAGCCACCACCACCACCACCACCACCACCACTACCAGTGTGGTTCATCAGCCTCATACACCTCATCAGCCATCAGCGTCAGAGTCAGCAGCCACCACCACCACCACCAGTGTGGTTCATCAACCTCATACACCTCATCAGCCATCAGCCTCAGAGTCAGCAGCCACCATCACCACCAGTGTCTGGAATCAATGGGGGAATTTATCTTTCTGCTGCTCAGATGTCCCTCGATCCCAAAATATCTCCCTCTGATGTCCAAGAAATAAAGACTTCTGATGATGATTTGTACACTCATATTCTGTATTAATTATTACCTTTACTTAATTCTGCTGTCTCTCCTGGTTGAAGTCCAGTTGTTTCCTGAGAGTGAACTATTCTCAGATATCACTAATAATCTTGATTTGTCAGAATTATACTGTTATCCTATTAACAGATTTCTATGAAGCATTTGAATGTATAGAATGCTCATTTGCAATAACTTCACAACAGTATTTTGGCCTTGGGATGTTCTCAAAGCTGGCCCTCCTGCAGATGAATAACCTTTATCTACAGCTGAAGGGAAGGCATGAAATGTTGGAGAAGTGTGTATGTGTGTTCTGAATCATGACGTGTGCCTGTTCGAGTTAGAGCTGTGGTGAATCGGCTGTATACGTTGAGAGTGGGAAGACCAATTAGTTTGGTTTTGACGAGTGATCTTAAAAAGTCTGTGCGTGTCAGTGACTGGGCACAATGAGGGCAGAGCATGCACAGATTGGACAAGGCAACATGCATGAGCGCTCGCATGCATGCAAGAGGTTTCACAGTCCGGTCAGCTCATGAACTGACTGCTGTAATGAGTTGCAGGCTGGCTGGGTTCAATGGACATGAAAGGTGACGCACATACATCATCGTGTGCATGTCCAGCTTACAAAGTCTAGAATGGCTGTTAATGCTAGTAGTATTAGTGAACATTATGTCCGTTATGTAAGAATGTGGGAGTTTAAGGGTAAGAGCTCAGGGCTGGGCCATATTACATGAAGGGTGAGTAGGGGAGAGACAGAGAGATCAGAGAGAGAGAGAGAGAGAGAGAGAGAGAGAGAGAGAGAGAGAGAGAGAGAGAGAGAGAGAGGGGAGGAAGTCAGTGTGTTTGAGGAAAAGAGAGAGAGAGTGTGACAAGAGGGCAGGGCTGTGAGAGACACACACATAGAGAGAGAGAGAGATGAGAGGTTAGGAGTCGCTAGTTGGCAAGATAATCAGAGACAGGCCACTGATTCAGGGCTTGTTGCACACAGCTGGTGTGACGGGTGAAGAGGCTGTAGGCTAACACTGATTGGACGGACAGTGACAATGTGCAACGAGTGGGGGACTTAATATACTGGATGTACATTATCAACTCCATAATCCAAATATCACACTGGAGATATGAGGTGGAGGACAAGTTGTTGAACTGCAGCAGAGTGGAATATCAACATGGATGTTGCTTCTGAGGGACATTTGGAGATAACTAATGACTGAGCGGCTGTGGACTGTGGATGTAGCATCTAATACTACTGGGTGAACAGTAATTTTTTCACATTCTGCATTTGTCTACAGATGTTTTCTGAATGACGTAACATTTTGCATCATAAGAAACACTTCATTTTGTATGGATCGCTCCTTTTTTCTTTCAGCTTTTACTCTAGAAGTGACGATATAGACATCTTACATCTTCATGAAGTGAACCTGCTCCCTTATATTTAGCACATAGTACTAAATGGATGGTTTATAACAGGAAGAACAAGAGCTCCCATCAGTAAAGTGAATCTTGATCCATCTAGACCCCAGTGTAGCATGATCTAAAGAACATAACACAAATCTCCCCTGCATCTCTTGTGCAAATGATACTGCTATGGAGGCAAGACTGAAGCAAAGCAAAGTTTACAGACTGGTAAACCCAGTGCATCCTGCAAGGCTGGCAGTCCTGATGAGGTGTTTGAACCATGTGGTCCACTGAGAGCATGGAGCCAGAGAAAGCACACACCCAGAGCAGCTTCTTCAGCAAGGTGGATGTGCCTGACCATGCTCACTACATCGTCGCCTTATTCGTCTTTGTCATCGGGATGCTGGGCATCACTGGCAATGCGCTAGTTATGTTCGCCTTCTATAGGTGGGTCTGTGTGAGTGGTTTATTGCTGTTTCTTTACGTTGAGTCACAGTGTGTGTCTGTTCTTTTCAGTGGATATAATCCGAGCATTCCCTGAGGGGATGCTGTAATCACTCAGAGATGTTATATTCTCACAGAGCTGGAGACAGACTGAGTTGTGTGGATGTGTAAGGGGACATCTGTGGCTGTTTTAAACGCATTTATGTGTCTGATTTAGGAGGCAACAACCTTTCAGTCAAAGTGGAGAGGCTTTTTGCTGTCTTTAATTCACTGCAGAGTGAGGGTCAGTATCTGTCACGCCTTTATATCCCCAGAGGATCAAAGGGGTTTTCAAAAAGCTGGTGATTATCAGTTAAATAATCTTTGCATCTTAGTGCCCTGCATGAAACATCATCTTAGTTGCATGGCAACAAAGTAGAAAGGTGTGGTGTTCATCGCTGGAGTAAATCTGTCCTGTATCCTTGAGAAATGTACTGTACTGAAAAAGTGTCACATTCTGTCTTGAATATTGTGAAACTATCACAGCATTTTTGATGAAAATATGTTTCTGCATTGCAGCTAGAAGGTCATAAATGATATAAGATCACAACTTAGGCTTTTTGCTGTGCTTTTACACAAATGTAATTATTTTCAAGCAGTGTAAAAATTGATTTTATATTGTTGTACTTTTTGAATTAGTAAAATATGCCTTTTTTTATTATTATTTTTTTTACTGTCAAATTCACACAACAATCAGATGTGAAGTTCACACAGTTCATTTATAGTCACATGAATGCCATTCTACAATATGAGTGACTCTTAAATGTAAACTTACTAAACGTACTTTGAGAAGTCAAAGAGGCATATTTTTTTTATTGTGTAATTTGGACCACCACTGACCTGTTATTGTGCCACTGATGTTAAGAAACTGGGTCAGAGACAGACACAGTTTTGTGTATGTGTGTGTGTGCGTGTGTGTGCGCGCGTGCTGGGGATTGTCAGGAGCTTTTATATTCCATCTGTCCATCACTGAAGATAGATTAGATGGGTTCCATTGTGTTGTGCTGATAATTTGTGTTTACTGAATCAGAAATGCACATGATGTTATGGGTTCCAAGAAAATTCACACACACACACACACACACACACACACACACACAGCGAGAGAGAGAGAGATCAATGTCTTTCAAGTGAGATGCCACCCGATATGATGATTTTCCAGGAATGAAGTGAAACACACAGATACACCAGCAGTGATATAAAAACAGGCAAGCACTACAACACACATACAAATGCTCAAAAGCAGACACAAACATGTTAACTGGATGACCTCACACACCAAACCCGATTGTTTGGCATTCAATTAGAGAACAGCCACTTTTAATTCGACGGACGCAGAAACAGAGTTTAATCAATTAAGAGCTGTGGAGGCAGACAGCAGGTCAATACGCTGCTTAATCAAGTTGTCCTGAATGCAGTTTCACACAGAGTTGATCAGTTAAACAAATTATCACTGATTCATGCTGACAATTAAACCGTTCTTGAGTTATGCAGTCAAAGATACTGACAGATACAACAGAAGTGTAACCAAAGTCATACCCTTTTCCCCTTAAAAGACGTGACTGACAGACATTTGGTAAACCACACAGCCAAAGGAGAAGCTAACAGATGCCTGAGTAATTCCGTTAGCTCTTTAACATCTCGATCAAAATCTCTAGAACATTATGTATAGGCTGTACACCTAGTCATACAGTGACTCAGAGGAAGTCGAAAGCTCAGATTTTGACTAAAAGAAAATAAAGGGCAAAAAAAGTGGATATTTTTCACGCTGATCACAAAACTTCCCTTATTTTTCTTCCTGTGTGTGTGTGTGTGTGTGTGTGTGTGTGGGTGCGTAGTAACAAGAAGCTCCGTAACCTGCCTAACTACTTCATCATGAACCTGGCGGTCAGTGACTTCCTCATGGCTTTCACACAGTCCCCCATCTTCTTCATCAACTGTCTCTACAAGGAATGGGTGTTTGGAGAAATGGGTAACATTCTTCTTTGTTTTCTAATAGAGCCTGAATCTTTACATCAAAACCATATGAGATAAAACCAACCCAGTCTCACTCTAAAGTCGTCGAAATCCAACGCTTTGGCAGTGACTTGCGGCGTCAGACACTGACGAAAAAAAGCCATCCTTTAACGTCTGCATGATATTTTGCCGGTTGCTGTTATGATTTAACAGTGCTGGGTGGCATCAGGGGGAAATGCAGTGGGACAAGAACGAAGGTTAAGGCAGTGAAAGTCCAAGTAGGGTGGGTGGCAGGGGTGGTGGATGGGTCCAACAAACATTAAACTTCACCCGTGAGAGTGATGTAAGATTCTAAAGCCAAATCCTGTTCTTTTTCCCTAAACCCAACCACGTGCGTTAGTTGCTGGAGGAACAAAAACGTCAATTTGCATTGTTGTACCAACGTAGTGCATTAATTTTGAAAGCGTCTGTATGTAAATAGTAAATTTCCTGTGGAAACGGAAGTGTATTTTGAAAGAAGACAATGCATGTAACAGACATAACTTGATGCGGCGTACCAGAGCATCAACAACCAATGCACCCGTGGTATCTGGACGTGGAAAGTCCATGACCAACCGTTGATATGTGACGAGATCGGAGTGAGAATGTGTTGGATGAAACAGGATTCTGCTCTTGTTGTGGTTGTCATTCATATGTGTGTTCCTTCTCTGCAGGCTGTAAGATGTACGCATTTTGTGGTGCCTTGTTTGGCATCACTTCCATGATCAACCTACTGGCCATCTCTATCGACCGTTACATGGTTATCACCAAGCCTCTGCAGGCCATGCACTGGGGCTCCAAACGAAGAACCACCCTGGCCATCGTCATGGTCTGGCTTTACTCTTTGGCTTGGAGTCTGGCTCCTCTTGTTGGCTGGAGTGAGTTTCCTCTACCTGGATGTGTTTTCTTATCATGCTGTACATGTACATGTGAGAGTCTAAGACAAACAAGCCAATGACCTGTGCTGTAAAAAAAAAAAACCCTGATGTTCGGATAAATGTAACTGATCTCCGTTCACATACACATCAAAGCAAGAAGTCAATCCAGTCAGCAGAAAAAAATGTTCTTATTGTATGTTTTTGCAAACCAGAGATACATTACATCTGTACATTATTTTGGACGTTAAAACTTTGTTTCTCAACACAGTGGTGATCGAATCAAATTAAATCAAGTTTATCTTTATGGCACATTTAAAAACAACCACAGTTGACCAAAGTGCTGTAAAAATTTTAAGAATGAGACACAAATACATAGCAATATGTACACAAATATAAAACAGAATAACTCTGGTGAGAACAATTACATACGTAAAAAAAGATTATAAAATACTAAAATATTAAACCATTGTAAACAACCAAAGGCCATTGAAAACATGTAGATTTTAAGATTTGTCTTGAAAGTGTCAGTGGAGGGTGGACATTTGATTTAGAGTGGAAGGTTATTCCAGAGTTTTGGAGCAGCTACCGCAAAGGCACGATCTGCCTTACCCACCAGCCTTGATCACGGGACAGTTAAAAGGCATTGTTCTGAGAATCTAAGAGGTCGAGAGTTGGAGTAGGGGCAGAGAGGTTAAGCAATAAACTGGGCTGACAGCCCATGTATGGCTTTAAAAACAAATAAAAGAACCTTAAAATCAATCCAGTATTTGACAGGTAGCCAGTGCAGGGATGCTAGCGCTGGTGTAATGCTGTCTCTTTTTCTGGCACCAGTGAGGAGTCTCACTGCAGCATTCTGCACCAGCTGCAGGTGAGACAAAGATGACTGGCCGACACCCAGGTACAGAGAGTTGCATTAGCCAAGCCTTTAGAAGCAGTGGTTACAGTCATGTCACTGTGAGAGATGATGGACTTTGGATGATGGAGTTTTGTAATGTTTCGTAGTTGAAAATAACATGGTGTGGTGTGATTGTGTGGTTAGGTTTAGTCACAAAGTCACTTGGTTATGGTTAGGAAAAGATCACATTTTGGCGTGAAACATCAACGTTTGGTAGCAAAAGCAACTGGGAAACAGCGGCCAAGAACACTCAGGTTCTGTGGCTCAAAGGCTGCAGGAAACTCTCCGATGTGTTGGTGGAAAAAAGTCAGGTAATGTGCCACAAATGCTGCTGAGAAATGCTGTGATGTGCAGTTCAGTGCCACAAATACCCGTGGAAAAACACTCAAAGGATTAAGTGTTGTAGGTTTCAAATAGTGGTCTGCACTTTGACAGGCATCTCACTTAGGTATTATGCCATCCACCACCCCCACCACATCCTGCTGCAAAAGTCAGCTTATTGTTAAGACCCCGGTCTAGGGGCACGTAGACATAACATGCTGTGACTCCCCACTCTTCCCACTCCCAAAGAATGCCAGCTACGGGCTATTTTAGACAACAAAGTCAGCAGTTTATTTGACTCCTGAGTTGAGTGGTGCCCAAAACAACATACCAAAATATATTCATGGACCCTAAACTTACCTAACGAAAACAAACATGAAACAAAAGCGAGTTTCTAACATAAACTTTGACAATACAGAACAAGAGATAAGAACATGGCAGTGCCAAACAAAAAGGGCTTCTCACTACTATTATTAACTCAACATTTCCTTATTTTGGTGCTTCAGAATAATAGTTTATACATACCAAAATAAGGGGGGAATTTTATTGTGAAGAATCTATAGGAAATGAAATGTGGTGTTACTAAATTAGCAGAACTTTCTTAGCAGCTTCTCTTCAATTAAGACAAGTCTAATAATATGGCAGGGGGGGGAAGTGAGAGCAGAAGCAGCCACAGTGAGATGTTGATGAAGAGCTGCAGACAACAGGCTCTTACTGCACCTCTGCAAACAGCTCACTTCCAACAGGTAAACTTCTTTTATCTGCCCTGCTGTGGAAAAACACATGCAGCAAAAATAACAGGGGACTTCAGCTGTGGATCAGCCCGCTACTTTTAAACGTCATCACTCAAGGCAAGCCATCATAAGTTTAAGACGCACCTTCAAGAAGGTAGCCCTGTTGGCAGAAAAATACAAGCACATCAGTGCAAAAATGACCGGGGTTATAACATTATATATTACATCACATTAGAAACATTGATATGATTTCTATAAAATGTGCAAATGTAGCCTGTTCATGGTTTGCGTAGACGTGCAACGTGAATATTTCCTTTTGGCGACTGGGCTGCTTATGTCAAACAAAATGCAGAACCATTGATGTTTCACCTGATATTTTACTTCCTGATGTTCTCTCAACAATTTTAGGCTCCTATATCCCAGAGGGTCTGATGACATCTTGCACATGGGATTACGTCACGTACACATTGGCCAATAGGAGCTACACTATGATGCTGTGCTGTTTTGTTTTCTTCATTCCACTGGGAATCATCTTTTACTGCTATCTCTTTATGTTTCTGGCAATACGCAAGACTGGCAGGTAACTCTTACATCAAAGAGTATGTGTATGTTGAGCCCCAAACTGCTGTCACACTGTATGAATAGTATATCTCAAGAAGTGAATATTCAGACTCTTAAAGAATTCGCTAAACCTTCGAGTATCACATGAATAACCTGAACTTTGCTCTGGGGTCCAGCTCTCTCTTTAACTACCCCCTCCATGCTGCTCCACCTACAGGGAGGTCGAGCGTCTGGGCACTCAGGTGAGGAAATCCACCCTGATCCAGCAGAAGTCTCTGAGGAGCGAGTGGAAGTTGGCTAAGATCGCATTTGTCGTCATTGTGGTTTATGTCCTCTCCTGGTCACCGTATGCTTGTGTCACACTGATTTCCTGGGCGGGGTAAGACTTCTTTCATTGATTAAAATGTTTTCACTATAATGGTTTTAGTGTGTTTGTATTCTGTTTCTTTTGCATGTACCTTTATCAACACCTCTGCTATGTTGATCAGTGCTCTGTGACTCCAACCAGTCACTTTTCAATATACATATAATGGTCCATTGTCAGTGAAGTAATGGTTAGGACGGTGTAACCAGTGTGTGCTCAGTGTATGTACAAGGGACATTGTTAGACACATGATGAAAAATTAATGAAGATGACAAAATCCCAAAGTATTTACAGTCCATGCAACTAACTAGTAAACACACAACACACAGAAAACGTGGCTGAGGGGGAGACACATTTCACTGTTGGAGTGTTGTGTGATATTTAAAAAATGAAATATTGATATCATGTTAATAATACACTTCTAATAATATCATGTAAATAATCTGGTGCCCCTTAAATCCTCTTAAATCTCGTTCTTTCCATAGCTTCCATGGCTAGTAAACAAAGTAAAACATGAATTTAAAACTTTTTTTTTTTTTCAAAAATGTCTTCAAAAATTGCAATAATATTGTTATCGTGATTCTTTCAGACAAGATACCCGTGTGGTGAAAATCTGATATAATGCCTTCCCTATTTTGAGGTAACACTGTCCATTGCTTCATTTGAGCACACATTCTCTGTACCGGCTGAGAGAGTTTTCAGTGATATTTAGAGATATTCTTTATGTGCAGTGTAGCGTGCTCCTCATGTTAACATGCTAAACATGTTGCTCAATAAATTTTAAATGGAAAAGCTGTTGTGGAGGTACAACAACAGCACTTGTAGTTGGGTTTACAACCTCCATGATGTGGTTTAAACAGAAGAAGGTTTCTGCTGTCCTGCATGCACTAAACCAGTGGTTCCAAACTGGTGCAGCCACAGGGTCCAGATTTCTCCTTAGTCATTAATCCAAAGTCCACAAAATTCAATACATTCAGCCTCACGCTTGTGTTTGGCCATGTCATTGAGCTAGTTTACTGTCTCTGTCAAGCAGCTGTTGGTTAGTCTCTCACGCTACAGCAGGAAACGGCACTTCAGATTAAAAGCTCTGTGCTGGAAATTCACTGTACTTCAAAAATTAAGACTGTTTTAACAAATTTGACAAGTTCCCGAGTCACTTGCGGTCCATTCAGAATGGACCTGTGACTCGCTTTTGGACCGCGACCCACCGATTGGGAACCACTGCACTAAATACATGTCTATAGAGAAACCATTCAAAGTTTTAAATTAATTTCCATTTTTCCACTAGAGTCCTGAAAATTTTCTCTTTGCCTAGATCTTAAAGTGTGAATTACTGTGTATATCTTAAGAAACATACACACTGGGCATTAGTTTCTTTTATGATAGATGAAGTGCAGCAATGCATTGTCAGTGAGTAGCAAACTGTTGCATTAGAGCAGACAGATGTTTTACAAAAAGTATGGGAACAGTGTCTTTCTCTTCTGTCTTTCCATTGCTTCTCAGATTTCCTTGTACAAGCAGTCACAAACTAAACTGCAGCATAAATATATCTAGTGTTGTTTGATCTTATCATATTCTATGTGCCTGCTAATTTAAAGGTTCTGTAGGTGGCGATTACGAACATTAATATGGCAGAAAGCAACTATTTGCTATGTAAAGATATAGTGGAGTAATGGTGTCCTAAGTAGAAATGAAGGCACACTACTCCTGCATGTGTTGTAAAGTGTGTTAAGTTGGTCCATCCATACATGCATTAATATGCGTGTATATCCCACTGGCTAGCTCATTGCTGCGACTTTGCACTGCACTTATAAAGCAGTTACTTCTGATATTGGGGTGGCATCGCTGTCATGGGTGTGCAACGCCCACACCCTGGTTCCCCTATGGGTTACTCACTGTTAGCTCTGACAGCACTGTTGCCAAGTGTTAAGCGCTGTTTATAGAGTTAGCACAATTAACTTCTAGCCACTAGCTCACCAACCTTCATGTTGACAACTGTGTCCAGAGAAATCATTTGCTCTTAATTTTGCATAGAGCCCCTTTTTTAAGAATTAAATGAGGTTCACCTTGAAACATTGAGGAAACCCACGTGCAGCAGACATGTTGTATTAAAGTCCAATAACCGCCATGGTCCACTCTGACTTGGAGTATGGACGGTGTGCAGGTTATTTGGATAAAAATCTCCCAAAATGGCATTGAATATGTCATTACATAATGTTGTGTCTGCCAAAGGCCAAGTATGAGTGACATACAACAGACGGTGAGGTTGCTCATATGTCCTTATCCAACCTATCACAACATTCACCAAACCACATGTCTCTCCTGGGACATACAGAAGGATGAGATGTAGTTATGTAACTCTAAAATCACATCTTTTCCTTGCTCATTCACAGAGGAAAGTTATCCTCACACAGACACACAAACACACACAGACACACACACGATCAGATAGACTGAACCACCGCTCTGTGGCAGCTGGTACTTTTTAGTTAATCCCTGATCCAGTATGCCCCTTCATTATGTTACAAAATATTGAAAGATAAAGGGAACTTTGGGTTGCGGTGGGCATGTGGTGTTTTCACGCTACCAGCAAAGGACTACGAGATAAACATATTTTGTTCAAACTGCTGTTGTTCTTTGTTTATTTAGGCATGCAAACATCCTGTCACCGTACTCCAAGGCTGTCCCTGCAATCATAGCAAAAGCCTCCACCATCTACAACCCTTTCATCTATGCTATCATACACAACAAATACAGGTAAATGATGAATCAATGTCATTGTGTTTCTGTCTTACCTTCACTCTCTTTATCATCCCATATTATATCTTGTATTGTTGTATTGTTCATATCTGATTTTACAAGACTTCAAAATAAAGTGAGGGTATCCATGTTGTCCTGTTGTTGTGTGTTTTATCAGGATGACTCTGGCAGAGAAGTTTCCCTGCCTGTGGTTTCTGTCTCCCACTCCTCGGAAGGAGTGCATCTCCTCCTCCATCAGCGAGTCCTCGTACAGGGACTCCATCATTAGCAGACAGTCCACAGCATCAAGGACTCACTTCATTTCAGCTTCCTCTGACATGGTAATCTTTTCTTTAAAACCTGTATTTTGTTGTCCTATAAGATGGCTTTTATTGACTATCACTGAGTTAATCATAAGAATTCTGATGTCATTGGCATTATTTCGTGGGGCCAGGACACAGGGGACACGTCCACCCTCAATACTTAACATATGCATTCATGGGGCGCCCCGTAGCTCAGTAGGTAGAGTGGGCATCCCATATACAAAGGCGATGTCCTTGCCGCAGCCTCCCTGGATTTAATTCCAGCCTGTGGCCCTTCACTGCATGTCATCGTCTGTCTCTCTTCTCCCTCCACACTCACCACTGTCTCAACAATTTAAGGCAAAAAGCCCAAAAATATACACCCTTAAAGAAAAAAAAAAAAAAAAAAAAAGAACATGTGCTTTTGTTATTCAATATATTCTGACAAAAATAGATACATTTCCACTTTAAATTAATGCAGAAAAGGCACAGATTGGTGTAAAAAATATACACCAGAATGCAGGAAAATCAGTGTTTCATACTCAAAATTTTATGGGATAGGACCTCATACCATTGCATATGTGCAAAAACATTTTCCTCCAGAAATATGCTTGGCACAGGTGGCCTAATATATTGCAAAGAGCGACTGCATGAGCAAAATATTTTTAAAGGAATTGATATTTTAATAAAAAACATTGGACATTTTCTGAGTGTTCAAAACAGCTGATTTAGGTCCTGTTTATACGACAACAATTTCAACTGAGAACAGTAAACTTTAGTTGCGTTTTGGTTAATCGTTTACATGACAGTGTTTTGGGTGCCTGAAAACACAACGTTTATTTTTTTGGAAACAGCACCGTCGCCACTGTCATGTAAACTTGCAATATGCAGTCCCTCTGAAAACAGAGACTTTTCGCACATGGTCATTACGCTTGCAGTCACTAGGCATGCTCAAAAAAGTCAACCATCACAACAACAACAATGGGATCCAGAGCTCTGTTTGTGCTGCTCACCCTACTGAATTTATCAACGCTTCTCCAGCAAAGTGTTTTAAGATTTACTGTAGCAACTCCACCTCGTCGTCCGTCCAGACAAACGTTTGTGCGGTTGCCATTTTGTTTGTTTATACATCACCGCTCTGTAGAAGGAAGTGCATGTGCACAGGCGCGTGTTGTTTCATTGCAAAGTCACACCGCCAACTACTGGCCTGGCATGTATACTGCAGCATTTTTGGTCATTTTTGCTGATCCATGTGCACGGCGATTGTTATCAAAACGTTGTCGTCTGAATGCAGAACTTTTTTTTTTAAACATGGCCTTACTGTTTGGGAGAGAATCAGAAAAGAAGTTTTTCATAACAGGCTAAAAGCTAAATACAGTCCAAGATAAAGCCCAGAATCTTCACTTGCTTTCATTATTCATGAGATCATCTACAACTGAAACCTTGTTGCATGGTATAATTATTTTAACATCTTCTATGAGCCGTGTCCAGTGCCATTATAAGATGTACAGTAAATGTGAACCTTACCGAGCTTGACCATCACCATATTATGTAAAGGTTATCATTCTGTTGCTTTAGTTTCTTGAGTTTCGCTCTCAGAGAAACTTGTTCATGTTTAACCTTTTACCTGAAATTAAACTACGTGTTGAGGTAAGGTCATCTTATTATTTTAGCTCAGCACACATCAATTCTGCTCTTTCTTAAAGGTATTAAGGGATGTAGAGATGGAGCCTTTGGGAAGGAAGTCAGATGCTTCCTTCAGAAGCCTGCCATCATACAGACAGTCTTCGAGAGGCAGGTCCTATAAGAAACAATTAGAGCGGAGGACCACCAAGACCCAGCTAGCAGAGAAGGTGAGGAAACACAATACAAGAAAAGTATGACATCAAATCAGATATGTCTGGAGTTATTAAGGTTTGTTTTTTTTCACATTGCCAGTACCCGTCCACCATGAATGAATCATTGAACAACCGTGACCATGAACTGGTTTCCACCTCCCTCACAGTCGCCACTCTCCCCCTACTGGTCCTCACCAGGAAGCGCAGCCAGAGTCTGACCAATGAGATTTCAGATGCATGGGAGAAGAAAGGCAGCATCAGTGACTGCCACAAGAGCGACTCTTTTGACTCTCTGAATTTTGGAAAAATCAAGTGCACTGACCCCAGGTCGCCTCAGGGTGTCCCTCGCATTATCGTCATCAGCCCCACGTCTGAGAGCAGCCTCATCAAGCATGACAGCGTCTGCTTAGAAGACAGTGTCGAGGCGATGGAGAACAATGTTTTTGTCAGCCTGAACTTCTCATCTGAAGTCTTTGAGGCAGTGGAGCTTCTCTCTTGACCAACTGCTCGCTGAACAATAATAACCCTCATATTTTTTTTCCACTGAAGCTATATTATTAACTATATTTGTCACCACAGACCACACAATGCTCTTCTCTCCAGGCTGTGGACAAAGTAATCATCCACTGAACTGAACCATTTACAATCTGTTTCTGCTTGTTGACTCATCCTGTAGATCCATGCCACTCTGTTGCTTAGATAACTGGAGTGCAGAAGAAACGTTGGTATGCAAAATGAAACAGCATGACCTGGTTGTGGTATGCAGTGTGCAGTATTTGTCAGATTTTGGCAGGGGCAGGTGCACCCTGAGGAACAGCATGGACTGCAGCATATTTTTGTTAGATCCCTCAAAAATGACAGTGTAACAACGTATTCTCATGATTTTGGGGGCCAAGCTTGACATGCTGGATCCTTAGTTTAGCTACTCAAGCCAAAGATTTTGAAACTGTGATGTGAAGTTTTGAACTGAAATGTTTATATTGTAATTCATTTAGGCACTTCATGGATTTTCTGCAGGAGACTTTAAGAGAAGACATTTGCATCTGAAACCAGACCAGTTCAAAGAAAGAACAATGGTTTATTATCCACCTTAATGAGGAAAAATGTGACCCAAAAAAAGCAAGATTTCTGCTCATTCTTAGTCCTAAAACAACTGTAAGCAAGGACAGCCATTGTAGGTTGTGAGGATGTTTTTATAAAGTATATATATTCAGTTCTTGTCTCGTGGTAGCAGCCTAGTTCCTTTGGACAGTGTGGGCCTCTCCAGCTTTTTATTAGCAGTGAGACAGCGGTGTAATGAAAGCGTGGGGCTGTTAATACTGGTCAGGAGGCTGAGGCGGAGTTAAATGTGTCTCATAAAACAATGAACTTTTAAAATTTTCTTTGTGGTGACTTTATTATGTCTCATGTATTGTGTGGACACTGTGATTTGTTCCACTGTTCCCTTGGACTATTCCTACTCATATAAACAAAAACAAACTTTATTGTGCTGCTTTTGTTGCTTGTGAATGCTGCAGTGTTGTTTCCAGTGATCAGAGTGAGTGTGATTTAAATGTATTCAGTTTATATTCAGTACACGCATGACCAAAGATGTTTGGTGAAAACTGTGTTCATTTTATTATTATTATTTTTGGATGGTTAATTTATGGCGCTTTCTGAATTACTCCAGTCGATGAATGTTGTCTCCTCTTGTTCTTAAAGTGGAGATGAAACACTGAACAGTATAAGTGTGGTTTGTTTGATTTTTATTTAAGGGAAGATATGACACTAAAATGAACTTGACATCCACCTAGATTTTCTAGAAAAGTAAATAGTATTTCACTTTTTCACCAGCAAGGCATTTTTCAACAAGCTAATTGGTGATGTCACGAGAATGGTTGTTTAATGGGAGCACATGATTTCCGTGGGCTGTTTTCATTACTGCTGTGACCTGACGTGCCTGATTTCACAGCAGCTTTTCTTATAAAATTGCAACGCATGTTTTTGAATTTTTTTTTTTTTTTTAATTGCAAAAATTGTTTTGCTGCTGTCTCACATTCAGAGCATATTGTTATGAGCATTCAGTGTTTCCCACAGAATTAGAATCTGTTTATAATAGTTTGGGGGGTTTGGGATGTTGTTGCCGCTGTTCAACGCTGCCGTTCAACACAGTGCTGAAGGACTTTGCCCACGAGAGGCTCTCCTTCTGCTCTCTCTGCATTGTTAGCACAAGTTGACGCAGCACACTGTGATCTCATTACTACTCGTCATATTTTCCTGCTTGGGCCAAGACTCTGCAGCAGCTAACAGCTGACACTGTGCTGTTAGCAGCAACTCAACCAACCAACCGCAAGACAGCTGTCAACCTATTAATAACCATTTGGTAACGTTAGCTATGTGATGCTAACAATTAGCCCTGCCACTGTGTGACTGTGACTTAAGTCACAAAGCTCTGGTCTCACAGTAGTAGCAAAATGATCTTTTACCGCTTTTAAATAGTCAAATTTGCGGTAAAGTTGCGGTGACTGTGCAAAATTGCAAGGTTGCACATAATTCAGGGGGAATGGCTGAATTTGCGTTACTTGTTGCGTTCACAACATTGCAAAATCCTTGAGTACAACACTGTACTTCAGACTAGTTAAGTGTTGATACAGTGGAGTTTAAGAGGATTGATGAGATACAAAGAACCAGATACATCGAAAAAACAATTGTCTTACCAAGAAGACCAAATATAGTGGTAAGACATGTTGCAATTGACAGCGCCGAAGATGACAATGAAGAGTTGCCTGAATTTGTGCATGGGACACCCACTCTGCCCACTGAGCTACTGGACGCCCTGAACCGTTCTTGTGACATAATTTACTAACTTGTTGAAAGACAGCTGTGTCCTGGTGCAAAACACGAAATATTGTCCAGTTTTACCCTCTTTAACTAGCTAATATTTTTCTATTCCTAACAAGTGTAATCATTCCAGACTAATTTGCAGCACACAGCAGCAAATACTGCAAGTTAAAAGAAAAAGTAGCTCTTAATTCACAGTTATGTTCAGCCTTTGGTGTGATGTCGGTGTCATCTGTGTTTTAACATTTGATACTCATGCATCTCTTGGTTTTATAACAATATGAGGCAACGATGTAGAGGAAAAGTTGGAGGAGCAGTTTTCATGTTAGTTCATGTGCTGATTAAACTTTCTGAATCAACCTTTTGTCACATTTTCATCAATCTGAGGAGAGTAGACACGATTACACAGATATTTCACTGATTGCAAAACCCCAGATTACATTTAATAACAAAAGACTTTAGCACATTTGATGCCAACGTTTACTCAATTCTTTATTTCTTCCACATGGTGTATGGTGAAACAAAGAGATTCTGGTTATGCCCAGTTAACTGTGGTTGAGGTGAAGTACACTTCCACATTAAACAATTCAGAGACAGTCCTTGTGAGATAAATATTTGTACTAGATGATTACTTAGTGATTATTTCTCTTCTCTTCATGCAGAAAACAGATCAGCCAAAACCACTGGCCTGATATTTTGTGTACCTGCTTAATGACATTTAGTAATACAGTGTTCTATATTTAGTTTAAGTCTGCAGCACATGAGTGGTGAGAGGACAAGATGATTCATACTGATTAAACTAAGTGTTTGATTTTGATCTATCTACCTATTTATCTTCATGTTGTCATCTAGCAAAACTGTAAATCAGTGTTCGTGGAAATAAAGGAGAGTATGAAGGTAAGAGAGCATGTTACAAAATTTTGGGGCTGAAGTTGAAAGCACAGTGATCCATCATCAGTGAATGACAGTTGGTGCAGCTGTAAGTGCCATACGGACAGGCAGGGACGAGAAAAAACTCACATGGCCTACTGAAGGTCACTTGCATAATAATTTTAATCTCATACCACATTAAAGTCCAGTGTGAAAGAGTCAGGGGGATATATTGCCAGAAATCAGATAATACGTATGTTTTCTTTAGTGTATAATCACCTGAAAATAAGAACTGTTGTGTTTTTGTTACCTTACAGTGAGCTGTTTATATGGACCAGGTCCTCGTCCACAGAGATCACTACATTGCACCATCATGTTTCCACGTTTCTCTAGGCCAAAACAGAGAAACCAAACACTGGTTCTAGATAGGGACATTCACATTTCTTTCTTTCTTTTTTTTTTTTTTGGAGAGGAAGATGCCTCTGCAGATAATTCAGCACTGAAGGAATTCTAATCGGGAGACGTTTCAGCTGGATGCAATCTGTAATCCTCACTGCTAGATGCCCTAAATTCCCCTAAGTCTTACACACTGTTCCTTTAAGTGCTCTGTGTTATTTGGGGTTATGTTAGTATTTATTATGTTAAATTAAACAGATAAGAGTGAGAGGCAGCTGTTAGTGTTATTGTAGGGGCAACAGTGTGACCTTTAACCTGATGAATCACTCTTCTTCCTTCCACAGTTTCTCAGTTTCACTAACACCGGACTGGATGGCCCTTCTCAGACTTGTGGGCAAGTAGCCTAAGTTTTTACCAGCAGACTGTGGTTGAGCGTTCTGAACATTCTCCCAGAGATTTTCTCCAGTGCTGAAACAAAAAACTTCTCCTATTAGTTTGACAGCCAACCTGCACTGCTGCAGTAAAAGCTCAGCCTTTGCACACACTCCAGCAGATGAGCTACGAGGCTCCCTGTCCATGTTTTTCATGCCACACTGATGATTACGTGATTTGATTTTTTTATTGAGATGCTGTTTGCTGCTGCTTTTCTTTTGTTTGTGCTACTGTGACCATGCCTCAGACATACTGTACTTTCTGCAGATACAATAAAGTTTAGACATTCATTTTCAGCATATTTGCGGCCAGCTGAAGAGAGATACTGAGTATGAAGTCATGATACTTTAATAACGTTTAGACTGGGATTTGTTTTCATCAAAATCATGTACTCAATATTAAGAAATCTGTGCAAACATGTGCAGATCAACTATGATCAAATACGGTAATTGTTTTTGTGAGAAAGTAATGTCAGATGGTTTTACCAGTCATATACCACATTCATTAAAGTCGTGATTTTAAAGTAATTTTGCCCATTTTCTGGTAAATGAACTGATTTTACTGAACACTTAGGTGTCCAAATAAACCACATGTATAACTCTGTGCCTCTACATCACGTGAGTGTGTTCCTTCAAGAAACTTAATGTAATCCAGTCTCAGTAGAAGTTTGAATTGATCTGGCTGTCTCAGCTTTTGCAGGAGAAAGAAATTGATAGTCTATCACTGGGGCATCATTTACATGCTTTTGTCACAGCAGACGTTTCTACATTTTGGATGCAGAACAATGGTCCCCATCAGTGTTTTGCTATTACTTATGATATGTTTGATTTCATATCACTGGTGCATTAAAGTGTATGCTGCATTTGATCTGTTTAGTTCTCTTTAAGCTCTGTCACTTCTTCCCCAGTTGTGTTTATTTTTGTCCATTCTGGCTCTCTGTCCCTCCTTTCAGTCACTTCTCCCTTCATCCAGGTCCATGCTTTACCCAAACTCTCCAGACTCGCCATTGTCCATCCATCCACCAGATGCCCTCGGACTTTCCCACCAGTCTCAGTCACCTGACTTGGTCACCTGACTGCATCCACCTGCTCACCTGTTCCTCATTCCTCAATTAGCCTCACAGTATTTATACCAGCCCATTTCCACCTTGCTCTTAGTTTGACTGTCAGTGTTGCTCCATCCCTTTGCTTTCAAGCCTGTGAACTGTGAGCTCTCTACCTCTCCTGACCTGTTCCTGTTTACCTGTGGATTCTGTTACTACTGTTTGGACTTGGTAGCGTAGCCATGGAGTGAGCTTTGTATCTTCACTTTTTCAGTCATTCAACTGTTCCTGTTTGCCTGGATTGTCTGCAGTGGGGTCATTTTCCTGCAACCTCGCACCGACCTGCCTGACAAAGATCATCACATGTTTGTGGTGTCACTGACCTGTGAGAACAGAGTTTTTCTAAAAAGTCAACTTTTTTAAAGCTTAGAATAACCGCACTTTGTGACAATGCATTTCCCGGCTAAATGTTTTTTAAATTGTTTATCTTAAGAAGTAGGAACACACATACAGGAACACTTCATCCTTCAGTTGATAAGGTAAAAAAAAAAAAAGATTTTAATTTGATGGCAAAAGTATAAAAAAAATTAACAAGTAAAAGCTGTCCGACAAATGTAGCGGGGCGAAAAGTACAATATCCTCCTGAGACCCTGTGTCCTCATGTGTGGAAATCACATTTTGGGTTTACTTGACCTTACACTTCATTCTACTTAACTTAGACCTGTTGTCCTCGTTCGTGGACACTTTTTGTGCCATCTAGTGGTAGTAAGAGCCCAGTACACTAATCCATGTAAAAACAAGATGGCAGCCATCTCTGCCAAGTCAGTCTGCCACAAAAGTGGACAAGGTCCAAAACCTGATCACATTTTGTGGTTGAAACTTGTTAATTTATAATTGATAATGTTTGCAGTTTGATATGGCAACAAATTTGACCAATTTTAGTAACAGTAACAAGTTAAGACACTGTTAATTAGGAAGTACTCATTTGAAGACATTGGGACAATATTTAGTTTTTTTTATACTTATCAGGTCCTACTGATCCAAAATAGCTGGGAGAAATTGAAAATGCACACCAAACAAAAGTTCGGGTCTCAGGAGGATATTTGCTTGTGAGATGTACTGTAGTGCAGTAAGTATATAGTTTCATCACATGGGTGTACATGAGTACCTCAAATTTGCACTTCAGATGAGCACTTCAATAAATATTATACTCCACCACTGCATATTTACAATGAATGAGCAGCATGAATTATGGAATACAGGTATTTTATATGTAATGACAGTAAATGACCACTAGAGGGGTCTAGTCAACCATATTTTTAAAGGCCATACTGAGTTCACTCAGTGTAGAAGATGGTGCATTTCTTTCTTTCTTTCTTTCTTTCTTTCTTTCAGTAACATGTCCAACACTGGAGTCATTTTAGAAAGAAGAAAGAAAAGAACAGCAGAGGATAAAGAGCACCATGTCACAGTAACTCACACTCATGTAGTGACTCACCTGTCACCTAGAAGATAACATATTCCCATGTCATCATACAGTATCATCACACTGATATTGTTCTGGGGTTTGAAAGTGTATGAAAATTGTAGCTGATTCTAAATCACAGCTGCTGTTTATGAGACTGACACTAAACTATACGACAATGATCCTCTCAGCACTTGTTTGTTTTTTTTTTTTGTCCATGCACTCACCAACTTTATGACAGACAGATGTGCATGAGTGACTGTGTATGCGTCTAACAGAGAGATGACATCACCGTGCAGGGAAGCATAAGCGCGTGCAGTGAAACCAAGGCTGCTCCCAACTGAAACTGGAGCAACATAATAACCAGTTAACAAGCAGGACTGGCCTCTGATGTCAGTCATACCTGGCAGGAGCCTCCTCTGCTTTTATGTGGACGGATGCGGCACTTTTATTACAACAAGCCCATCATGCCATCATGCCAGTGCGGAGTGATGCTGTGTGTGACCGACTCCGATCACGCATGCGTGGGAGCACACTCTCCGGTCTAGTTATTTGTAAATTAAAGTAGATTTTGCATGATATTTGATTAAATTCTTCCCTAAAATTATCTAGTTTCTGTAAATTGTCTCGCGATATGTCCCTTGACTAGCCTTGAAATATTTTCTGTCTCGATAAGTCCTTTAATATACAAAAAACTCATTGTAATTTACTCGACGTTAAACCCACTCTCCATCTGACTGCGTGATGGCGTCACACCATTACTGACGGACCTATCGCACAAAGAGCTCAATAAGTGACGTATGATAAACTGTAAATTGTCCCGGGACACCGGAGAGGACACGGAGAGCAGGAGGAGGCACGGCACAGCGACACACGGTGAGTACTGAACCCAGAGCTGCTTCTGCTCTTGATTTCTGTCACAGTCAGTGTTTATCAGGTCTTTTCTTGGGTGTTTCTCCACTGTTATTACAAAATTAAACAAGTTCAACGCTGAGTCACTGCATTGCTGTGTCACTGCTTTGCTGGTATTCTAATTGGTTTAATTATGTCAATTAAAAAAAAAAGAAAATTCAGTTGCAATTGCAAGAGATGTGATTTTTCTACCAAAAAAATGCAGTCCCTGATGGTCTTAGTGTTTCTTCTGGTACATTTGT